GGTGGTAAGAGATGGGCATGGTGGTAAGAGATGGGCAGGGTGGTAAGAGATGGGCAGGGTGGAGAGGTGGTGCAAACAAGCGCCCGGAGGCAGCAGGGCAGGCTGCAGCAGAGGAGAGCCGTGCTCTGTCTCTCTGGGAGGCATTATTAATGGGCGTTAGGAGGGGTTGTTGATAAAATGAACAGATATGGGTCCTTGTCGTGAGGAACTGGAGCTGCAGCGTGTGCTGAAATGCAACTTTAATGTGAAAATGTATCTATTTAAAAAGATATTCCGTTAAACCGAGGATAAATCCTGAATAACGGGAAACAATCGCACACATCAGCACTTTTAAGAGCAGTCGTTACACGTTCAAAAGTGTTTTGATCCGTCCGTGTCTGCAAAAAAAGCCTGTCTGGACCTTTACATTTGTCCTTATTCTCAGTGAGTCATTTTTAATAAAAAATGCTTTAGGAATGTTGTGAATAAGCAAGGATTATCCAGAGATTACTGTGTGTCCCTCTTACCTTTTAATGCTTTTATTAAATGTATTTCTGTCCTCAACACTCATCATATGTCCCTCTAACTCTCATTTAATGTGATATAAATCAGCTTTTATGACTTTTTACTGCGCCCTGCAAGGCAGCTTATGAGCGTGTTATGTGGCGCTGTTTCGTGATAGCTCAGGTTACCACACCTCAGCCTCACCCATCACTCCCCCCTTCTTCCTCCTCTGACTGCAAGAGGAAGGGGTGGGTCCGGAGCCCTACCCACATGTCCTCCACACTTACGTCACTAACTACACATTGCACATCACACACAAGGACAGGCCCAGACTTTGTAGCCCACAGGCACCGTTTGCTGTGAAAGGAGCAGAGTGATTGGTAGAAAGAACCGGGGAGAGTTAAAAAAAAAAAGAACAGTATAGCTGAAGCAAATTAGGGAGTGGGGAGGTTAAGAGAGGATAGAGGAGGAAAGAAATCATAGGTTTGTAAAGGTTTTAGTGGATTTTGGCCACAGGACTGCATGCGCTGGGACATACCACGGGTCAGGGACAGTTACAGGAGCCACAGGAGGTCCTGTCAAGAAGAACACAAAATATCTTCCAGAGGAATATTTCGTGAGCTGACCAACGTTGACAATGAGCGCTCCGCAGCAGCAGAGGTACAGGAATTTCTCCATTGACAGCCTGGGCAGGGAAAGGCTGCCCTCAGATGAAAGTTATTACCAAGGGATGCTCAAGGCGACGGACGGCAGGAAAGGTACCAGCATGGTTCCATTTAATGTACAACTGCTTTGCTGTCATCTTTAATCCTAATCTGATTGTGTTGTGTTCAGGGTACACACTTTTGAGAGATTTGGGAGTTTCACGATGATGATCAGCTTTTAAATGAGACGTGCACAGACAGCTATCATGTGTTGTACGTTAGTCGTGCACAAATGAATGATTTTCTGATGGTCCCTGCAGAGTGGTGGCCTAGAGAGGAGGAGACCGTCCCTGAATGCATCACCAGCTTCCTCTTTTTGTCTTGGACAGCAGCTCTCTAACAGTTTTTGTCGTGTTGTTTGCGTTTGCTTCGTGTGAGTCAGTCGTAGCTACCGTCAGTTGTTTCCAAAATGAACGATGAGCTCATTTATCTTCCTGTATTTTTAATTAGACTGTTGCTTTTTTCCTGTCATACTTATCAAGATGAACCTTCTTGAGAATTCTGTAGTTCATGTATGTCTCCATCACACACAACGCCCTTACAATGGGTGGAATTTAAACTGACCCATCTAGAGAAAAATAATTATATTTGGAGTCCAACTTTCATCCTGAAAACAGATATTTGACTTTAAATGGATATCAGGGTTGATATTTACTCCTTCATAATAATTGTCAATGTGCCACAAATGTTCATTCTGAACTTTCAGAAACATCAAATTTCCCTGAATGACCGTTCACACCTTTTTATCTTGCTGTGTTTTATAAAAAGCAGAAAACACCTCATGATGTAAGCAGAGCGTTCAGGTACTTGATTAAATCTTCTTTGTGGCTGAATAAGGTATTTAACCACAAAGAATTAACTCTGGTATTAGGGCGTATCCCTCTCTCACATGTCAAAACCTGAAAACAACAACTCCAACTTCAGAATGAACGGTTTCATCCCTGTTGAACAGAAACCCATGTTATTACTAACTGTATTCAGTTTTATCATTGTATTGTAATAATGATAAATAATTAAGTAGCAGTACTAAACTATAACTGTCTGGTTCAAGTAAAGCTAAACTGTACACATTTAATTTCTTACCATTTAATTGTTTATTGTAAAGGTTTCCACTAAGTTGATGTAAAATGCCAAAATAGTTTTAAGAAATACAACATTAAAATACATGATTAGCTGATTTGACCATAAAATAGTTATTAAGACACAAATTGCTCACAGTTTCAGTTTGATTTAATAGTGAAAGTATTGAATTACATAGTGGTTTTTTTTTGGTGCTCATGTCAACTTTTATCATTAATTGCTCCCCTCCTTAAAGTTTTTGGGCACGCTGCCATACTAGCCGTTACTGTAAAAAGGCCGGGACTCCAGAAGTGTTTTTTGTTGATGCACATGGTGCTAACAGAGCAGGTGAGCCGCAGGTCAGGATGCAACATTTGGAGGAATCCATCACCTCCCCTCTACGGGTGACCGCCCTGACTTGTTAGTCCATTTGCCAACTTGTCATCCTCTCAAAGTGACATTCACCCCCCCCCCCCCCC